TAGGAGTTCTTTATGAATTCTTGTTACTAGAGCCTTATCAGATATATGATTTTCAAATATCTTCTCCCATTTTATGGGCTGTCTTTTCATTCTCCTGATAGATATAGTACTCTCTTGTACTTTGATGCACAAAATTTTAAAATTTTGATGAAGTCCAGTTTTTCTCTGGTTGCTTATGCTTTAGGTGTCATGTGTAAGAAACCGTAGGTAAATCCAAGTCACAAAGTTTTACCCCTCTTTTATTCTATGAGTTTTATAGTTTTAGCTTTTACATTAATTAAAAATTAATTTCAAATTAATTTTTATTTATACTGTAAGATAGAAATCCAATTTAATCTTTTTTGCATGTTGGATATCTAGTCTCAGTACCATTTATTGAAGAGATTATTTTTTCTCGTTAATTGGTTTTGGAACCCAATTGAAAATCAATTGACTATAGATATACATATGAGTTTATTTCTGGATTCTCAATTCTATTCCATTTATCTCTACATCTGTCTTTATGCCTGTACCACACTGTCTTGATTACTTTTGCTTTGAAGTAATATTTGAAATCAGGAAGTGTGAGTCTTTCTTTCTTTTTTAAGAGAAAAAGAACTTTGTTTTGGCTACTCAGTTTCCCTTGTAATTTCATATGAATTTAGGATTGGCTTTTCCATTTCTTCAAAAAATTGCCAATGGAATTTGATATGGATTGCATGGACTCTGTAGATTGCTGTGTGGATTATTGCCATATTAACAATATATTTTTTTTCCTTTTTGTCTTTTTTTGTGACTGGTAACGGGATTGCAACCCTCGGTGTCACACCCGCACTGTGCTCAACCAGTGAGCAGACCAGTCTCTATATGGGATCCGAACCCTCGGCGGGAGCGCCGCCGGCCCGCACTGTGCTCAACCAGTGAGCAGACCAGTCTCTATATGGGATCCGAACCCTCGGCGGGAGCGCCGCCGCGCTCCCAAGTGCCGCACTCTACCGAGTGCGCCACCGGGCCAGCCCACCATATTAACAATATTAAGTCTGCTAATCCATGAACAGAGATGTCTTTATTTAGTTTTCTTTAATTTCTTTAGCATGTTTTTTAGTTTTCAGTATACAAGTCTAGTACTCCCTTAGTTAAATTTTTTCTAATTATTTTATTTTTTAATCCTATTGTAAATTGAATTGTTTTCTAAATTTCCTTTTTGTCCATTCCTATATAGAAAAAAAGAGGAATTATAAACTAAGAATATAATAATACTGAATTTTATCTTTACCAATGTGGTTACATTTAATGGTGTTCTTTATTTCTCCATATATCTTTGAGTTACTGTCGAGAGTCCTTTCCTTTTAGCCTTTCTTGTAGGGCAGGTCTGCTAGTGGCGAATATCCTCAGCTTTTGTTTATCTGAGAATATCTTAACTGCTCGTTCATTTTTGAAGGATAGTTTTGATGGATGTAGATATCGTGGTTGATGGTTTTATTCTATCATCACTTTAAATATGTCATCCCACTGGCTTCTGGCCTCCATGGTTTCTGATGGGAAATAAGCTATTAATCTTATAGAAAGTCTTTTGTATGTGATGAGTAACTTCTCTCTTGCTGCCTTCAGGATTTTTTCTTTGCCTTTTGCTTTAAACAGTTTGATTATATGTCTTGGTGTGGATCCCTTTGGTTTTATCCTATTTGGAGTTTGCTGAGTTTCTTGTATGTGTTGATTCATATCCTTTATGAAATTTGGGAAGCTTTTGGACATTATTTCTTCAAATATTCTTTCTGATGAACAGATTAACAAATGTGGTACAGTCATATGTTACTTAACAATGTGGATACATCCTGAGAAATGTGTTGTTAGGTGATTTCATCATTGTGAGGACATCATAGAATGTATTTACACAAACCTAGATAGTATGGCCTACTACACACCTCCAGCTCCATTATAATCTTATGGGACCATCATTGTGTGGTTCATCATTGTTAGGCAGAGCATGATTGTATATTCATACAATGGAATATTTTTTACTCATAAAAAGTAGTGAGGATGAAGGAAGTCCATGTGAAGACACAGAAAACAGATAATCATCTGTAAGCCAAGGAGAAAAGCCTCAGAAGAAACCAACCCTGCCAATACTTTGATCTCAAACTTCCTGCCTCCAGAATTGTGAGAAAACACACTTCTGTTGTTTAAGCCACCCAATATGTGGTACTTGGTTATGGAAGCCCAGAGCCAAGGAAACAGGGCCATACTTGGTCGACAAAAAGGCAAGCCACGAACGTGGTGGGTGCAAAGGACAGAGCACTGAACCAAAGAGGATTATTCTCAAGTCTTAAAAGCTAATGGATTTTCCACAAAAGCTTGTTAAAACGACAAAAAGGCAAGCCACGAACGTGGTGGGTGCAAAGGACAGAGCACTGGACCAAAGAGGATTATTCTCAAGTCTTAAAAGCTAATGGATTTTCCACAAAAGCTTGTTAAAATAAGCTGTGTACAGTAATGCCCATAAATCTGTGCTGTAAAATTAATGCAGATTGAAGGGCAAAAGATGTAAATTCTAGTGCTGATTTTGATATAAGCTAAATCTTTGAATAAAATTTTAAAAATCTAATGGAATTTGCTCTGCTACATATTGGACATACTTAGGACCCTCATCTCTTTCTTCTTTCCAATTTGTCCCTTTTAGAATGGGAATGTCTATCCTATGCCTGTCCCATCATTGTATTTTGGAAGAAGAAAACTTGTCTGGAATTTTGCCTCAGGGTGAATCACTGGAATGCCTCTAGTCTCATCCACACCTGATTTAGATGCCATTTAGATGAGATGTCGGATTTAGAGTTGATGCTGCAATGGGTTAAGACTTTAGGGGCTGTTAAGATGGGGTGAATGTATTTTGTAAGATATGAATATGTGGGGGAAGAGGACAGTGTGTTAAGGGCTACCTTGTGTCCCCCCCAAATTCATATGTTGAATTCCTAACACCCAGTACTACAATGTGACTGTATTTGTAGATAGGACCTTTAGAGAGATAGTTAAGGTTAAATGAAGTTTTGGGGTGGGAACTTACCTAATATGACTAGTGTCCTTATAAAAAGAAGAGATTAGGACACAGACACACGCAAAGGAAACACCACCGGGAGAAGACAACCATCTATAAGCCAATGAGAAAAGCCTCAGAAGAAACCAGACCTGCCAACACCTTTATTTCTGACTTTCATCCTCTTGAATTGTGAGAAAATAAATTTCTACTGTTGAAGCTAAAAAAATTAATGAAGTACTGATACATGCAACAACATAGATAAACCTCAAAAACATAAAGCTAAGTGAAAGGAACTAGACACAAAAGATCATGTATCGTAAGAGTCCATTCATAGGAGATGTCCCCAAAAGAGAAATTTATAGAGGTAAAAAGTACATTGGTGGTTACCAGGGCCTGTGAGTGAGAATGTGGGAAGTGATTGCAAACAGGCACACGTTTTCTTTTTGGGGTAATGAAAATGTTATAAAATCAGATCTGGGTGAAAGTTACCCACATTGTAAAGTAACTAAAAATCCCTGAAGTGTAATCTTAAAATGGGTTAATTTTATATTATGTAAATTGTACCTCAAAAAGCTGGTTAAAAATTTAATGGTTGAAAAGAATTACTCAAGGTGATATTTGTAGGATAATAAAAATATGACATTTTACTTTAATGTGTCCATAAGTAAGATTTATTTTAATCGAATATTTAATTCATTCAATTAATAAATATATTTAATATTTTAATTAAAATATTTAATTACACATTTTTATTTTTAATGAATTTTAATATAACTTTAATTAATTTTTAAAATTTCCTCTAAACACCTGGGATAATTCCACTCATATTGTGGTAATATGTTCGCCTCTATCACGAATTTTTCTCATTTCGTTTTAGAAGGGCTTTGGAGCCCAGCAAGCTCATAACAAATTGGGAAGTTGAGAAATCAGTACTGCTGAAATCGTTTAAACTCAAACTCCCGAACTGTAGGGCCCTCTGCATATCTTACCGGTATGTACACATTTCTAGATGTTGGTTAGACAAACGTCCCCGGCAAGAGCAGAGGATGGGCGCAGCGACCCGGCTCTGGCATTCCACAGCCCACGCCCGACCCCCGCGCCTTCCCTCCCGCAGTCCTCCCGTCCCGCCTGGAAGCCCCCGAAGCGGCGCGGGTGGGTCTGCTGGGCCCTCCGCTCCGGTAGGTGTCCCCAGGGAAAGGACGGGCCGACGCCCCGGCGCAGGCTCCGCGGCCTCCGCCTCGAGTGGCCGCTGCTCAGCCCGCAGCCCGGCGCCCGTGCCCCGACGGAGCCGGGGCCTGACCGCG